TGGACTTTAGAAAGGGGTTAAAACCTGGTTCCTTCCTTGGATTCGGGATGATCTGGACTTTCATCTGGAGAAGAACAGAAGTGCTTTCTTGTTTTTTCAGCTGATCATAAGCCAGCCAGGATGTCAGGGTTTAAGTTGGGTGGCCATACAAATTTAAGAAATAAGGAAATAAACGGGGGGAATTAAGTTCATAGGGGTGGTATGGATCTTGTTCTCTGTTCAGACTTAATACAAACTTAAACACACACACACATATATGGAGAAAATTGACAAAAAGATACTTGGGTGGCATTGTAGAACGTTCCTGTGCCAACCAGCCAACTGGACCATTTTCTTGAATACTCCATTACGCATTTTCCTTCCTACTTCAGTTTTTCACACCTTAACCATCAATCACAACTGGTACACCACTGAGGATCCTACATTTTTGTTGAGTTATTACAGTTCAGTCCTGCTAAGTTCCCCCCTCCAGATATTGTATTTGTGTACCCCAAATTAGTTATACAGAGACATCTATTTTATTCCTGACTGATACTGTTTTGGCTAACGAATAGTCCTCACTTGGTGAATGAGTTCAGTATTAAAGGCAAAAGACATGATTAATATTCAGTACACAACTCACCCTTTGAAAGATTAGATTAGATGATTAGGTTAGATTCCCATATATACTTGTGGACAAAGTGAGAATTTTAGGTTCCAAAATATAAAATTGCATTCACCTTACCCATGGATGGGTTTATCCACAAATATATCCAATCATATATTTTTTAAAGTACCTGAATATTTTTGTGGATCAACTCACCCACGGATAAGCTGAACCTTGAATTTTAAACCAAAACATCATGAAAAATACACCAGCTGCAGATTAGCCAACTGTGAAAATTAAAACACACACAAATTTTGAGGGTTGGTTTTTCCACAGATGGCACATTTTTTATGGTATTTTGGTAAAAAAATGGTCAGCTTATCCATGGATGGGCTTATCTGCAAGGATATACGGTAGATTAAAGGGGATTTTAAGGGATCCGATAGGGCCGAACTATAGGAGGAAGTCATGAAAACATAAGAGGAATTAATGACCAATGAAGGCCACATTAAAATGTTCTCCCACTAAGGGTTGGATCCAAAATTAGCCATGTTGAAGCTGCACCCAACAAAACTAAGGGGGGGTTAATGTGGAATCACAGCCATTCTCTGGCCGAGTGGGTCACCCCTAAACTCCAACCCTTGTACAATTGTGTTATCAAGATCATCCTTTTTAACGTTGGGGGATGTCAAGAAGAAGAGAGAGGTTATCAAGCCACAGTGACTGGATTCTGTCAATTCCATTCCTTGTAACCTGCAATACCCATACCACATTTGTAAAGAGTAAACCACCTGTAAGGGCCCTAAACATGCAATTAGACAACCTACTTTACTCTGACTCATAGCAATAGTGAGAAAAAGCCAACGTGTTAGGTGGAAACACAGGTAGTTAACTACCCATGAGGATTACTCATGGACAATCCAAAATTTAACACACGTGTAGGTTTACTAAGGGCCAGAAGAGCAGAGCTGTGCGAAGAGCTTGGTTAATGCTTCCGTTTGGTCTTGCCTCATCTGCTTCGGTCTCAGACTTCAAGACAAGGCATATCCCAGTTTTCCTTGGTGGTGCCAAGGATCTGAACTTGAAGCCTTCTATACATCCCTGCAGCTGAGCTGTGGAATTGCAACCAGGTCAAAAAAAATGAGGAGATAGATGAGTCATTCATTTAATTATCGCCACAGACTTATTTACTTTACTGAAGCAGGATCTACAAGAAGCTGCAAATTATGTAGAAGATTAGTAGCACAAGAGAGATCATGTGGCTCTCCCTATATTAAGTTAAGGCAAGCTGGACCCAAACAGAAGTTGAAGGTAATAGAGCTTAACTCTTGCCCACCCACCACACCTTCCAAAATGTGGATGGAGTGTTCCTGAATTGTCCCTGCCCTGCTCCGATTCATCAGTCCCATAACTCATGTCCCAGCCCCCCAGAGTCTAGGCAGCTCATTGATTTTTGATCCCTATCTGATCCCAAAGTGTCCACCAGAGGGATGGAGAAGATGAGCATGTATCCTGTTGTATCCACAACCCCTTCCTGATCTGAGTCACTGCAACCTTCATGGCATTCTGGAAGAGCAGGTCATTCCTTGACCCAGTGTAGACATTGTGTAAATGAAGGACAGGTTTCTTGTGGGAGACAGGGACGGTCAAATCATGCCAATGGAAGGTGTAAGAAGGAACACCAGAGGAAAATATGACATGGTACAAGGAAAATAGCTTCACAGTAGCTACTTCGTGAGCTACAGAAGGGACAATTGGAGATCAAGAGTTTCCATTTTGATTCATGCAATGTGCTAAGCTTTCATATGTGTTTGGGTCGAGCTTTGTGTCCTGCAAAGCCAGCCGGTTATGACTTAGCCTACAAACCATGGCCAGAAAAATGTTGGTTTCATGCGACATGTGAGCTCTTGACTTCAGCTGGCCAAGCTCTGAAGCTGGTCATGATAGGAACCCCGGTGCTGTTTTAGGTGGCTGGTGAAGTCTTATCTGACATTGGATTGGATGTCAAATATCAGATATGTTGACACTACTGGAATGTTTCTAATGGGAAGTTTGACTTTCAGTCCATACAGGTCTTTCTTTCTTGCCTACATCCCTAGCTGGCACTGGAGAAACATATCCAGGTGGGTTTATTCTAACCAGGGGCTCACAGAAGAGATGTTCTTCAGCTCTGGGTGTGTCTACAAATTCACAGGTAAAAAACCCACAGAGTACAGGATTCGATGCAGGAAAAACTTTAATGAAGGACAGAGAAATGGAGAGGGAGAGAGACAGAGACAGAGAGAGACAGAGAGAACAGTTTAGGCTAATAGTTGATGTATACAGGATATCTGTAGATATTTAAGCAAGGATATATGCTGGAAGAGATCCCAAAGAGTCTTCTAGCACTCTGTTTCCTACAAAATCCAGCCATATCCTTCCCAGAGAAACATACAAGCAGGGTGTTAAGAAATATGCCCCACCCCCTACTTAGTTTGTTCTCCAGAAACATCTCTTGATCAAAGCAAGCATCCTGCGATTGACCTAGAGGTAGAATACTTAGCTCATTTCCATGAGTAGCTATTGCTAGGGCCTCTTCTCCATGGATTGATCTAAACAAATCTTCCCCACATGGTCGGCCATTTGGGGAGTTAAGTGTCCTTGGAAGGTCTACCCGGGGTTGGGAAGGTTGTTCCAAAATTTTCAAAAGGTCAACTCATCTAGGAGTATCCCCATAGCTTGGATCAGTGAGTTCTGCTGACTCCTCAATCTATCTATCAAATGAGACATGGCCTTCAATGACCAGGTTGAAGGTCTGTTAAGAACATAATCTTTTCCTTCTTGATGATAGCCAAGAAGATATAAAGTAAATGTCATGCAAGGACTTCCGGGAAAAAGATGGCGAACTAAAGACGGCTCCATGAAAAGTAGAGCTGACGACCACCGTGGAATGAAGAGCCAGCAGGTAGACGGCTCTTTGTAATTCCTCTCTGGACAAGGAGAGGACTTGAGATCGCCCACAAGTGCTCCAGACAGCTGCTCCTCACAAGGAGACTGCAAGACAGCAGTCTCTGGCAGGTTTAGAGCTCTGGGAGACAAGGGAATAGCCATCTTGCTCAAACCACAGTCAGTGCCTTTAAAAGGACACCGGGTTCACATACTCTCTTTTCTAATCACTTTTGGAAATTGCTTGTCAATTGTTTTTTCAGCTATTAGGAACCTTCTAGTCTCTTCCTTGTTTGCAGAGCTACATATTGACCCATCACCTACCCCATTCTGCTAGCCTTCAATGGTTCATTTACTGAACCAGACAAACTTTTTGGTAGCCCTCATCCTATTGTGGGATCAGTTCCCACCTGGACATGAAGCTAGCAAGAAGCCTGCTATCCGTAACAATATGTCAACTAGTTTCCAGTTAATGGCCATCCTGGAAATTGTGGCAACTTTCTGAGTTTGGAAAGCAGTGCTTTTCAACATTTCCCTTGATGGTTGAACAAAAGAAAGAGCAAAAGAGAAGTTCTCTTTTTTGCATAGAGATGAAGCTGGACATATATTTTAGGACGTTAGACTGCCTTTATATCTGTCCTAGGTTTGCTCTTCTCCCTTTCAAGCAAAGTTCAACTTCTCCAGAACAATTTACTTTCTTTGACCTGGTCCCAGCATGTTACTCTAAAGTCATGTGGGACTCTTGGTTTCATAAAAGTTGTGTTCCCTTGCTTTAGGGTAACCTTCATAGGTGCTGACTTACTTAGAAGTTCTATCACCTTTCCTTGAAGGCCTCACGATAAACTTTCAGAGACCCTGGGGTCCTTTACAACGCAGTCTGAAAACTACGGTACAAAACTTTTAAGTTTCTTTTTTGTTTTTTCAGCTTATGCTCAAAGCAAAAGATTGACGTTATCACTCTTTTTTGAAAGAAATTTCAGCAGGGGTGGGGAACCTGTAGCCCTCCAGATGTTTTTCGACTACCATGGGAGATTCCTGGACTGCAAGTCCTAGCAATGCCACTGAAAAGGCCATTGATCAGACATGATGGAATCTCGATTCCAAAAACACTTGGAGGGACAGAGGTTCCCCATCACAGAGATAAAGGAAGACAGGGGGAAGTACTGAAAAAGTGACGTTCAGTCAAAGATAATATGACTCCAAGGCCTGAATTTCAGAGGTACGAAGCATCAGAAAGAGCATTTTGTTGAACAGAAGTAATCCAGGAACCCAGTATCTTTAAAAGCTAGGTCTAATCAACCTAGGTGCTGGTAGATTTGTTGTTTGTCTTAGTAGTTGTGTTGCATCTGGGTTTGACACTTATCTTCTCCCTGGTTTTTTTCTTGTGGCATTGTGTTGAACTTCCAAAGCAGCATCTCAGGAGTCGCTGCTGTGTCTTAAGGTTCTTTATGAAGGACAGCCATAGAAAGAAAAGCCAGAAGACCAATGATCAGACCTGCAGGAACTCTGGAAAGAAGGCCACAGCTGGAGCTGGAGCCAGGAGATCAACAACTGGGGTCATAGCAAGGACCATAACAGCCACATGGGCAGCAAGGAGGACAGCAGCAAGAGCTGAAGCTAGAATTTGGTGGTTGAGGCCTACAGCTGGGGCAGTAGCAAGGATTACAAGAGCTACATGTCCAGCAAGGACGACAGCAGCTGCAGCTGGACCTACAGCATTGGCTGCTACAGCAGCAAGGAGGAGCACAACGGCCACATCTGCAGCAACAAGGACAGCGTCTGGAGCTGGACCTAAAATTTGATGGTTGAGGCCCACAGATGGGGCAGTAGCAAGGATTACAGGAGCCACATGTACAGCAAGGAGGACAGCAGCTGGAGTGGCAGCTACAATCTGGAGATTGGCTGCAAGAATCAGAAGGAGGAGCCCAACGGCCACATCTGCAGCAAGGAGGACAGCAGCTGGAGCCGGAGTTAGAACGGAAAGGAGAAACAGATCTTGAGCGGTGACATCGAGGCCTACAGATGGGGCTGTAGCGAGGATTACAAGAACCGCATGTCCAGCAAGGAGGACAGTAGCTGGAGTTGGAGCTACCATCTGGAGATTGGCTGCAAGAACTGGAAGGAGGAGCCCAACCGCCACATCTGCAGCAAGGAGGATAGTAGCTGGAGCCGGAGTTAGAACGGAAAGGAGAAACAGATCTTGAGCGGTGACATCGAGGCCTACAGATGGGGCTGTAGCGAGGATTACAAGAACCGCATGTCCAGCAAGGAGGACAGTAGCTGGAGTTGGAGCTACCATCTGGAGATTGGCTGCAAGAACTGGAAGGAGGAGCCCAACCGCCACATCTGCAGCAAGGAGGATAGCAGCTGGAGCCGGAGTTAGAACGGAAAGGAGAAACAGATCTTGAGCGGTGACATCGAGGCCTACAGATGGGGCTGTAGCGAGGATTACAAGAACCGCATGTCCAGCAAGGAGGACAGTAGCTGGAGTTGGAGCTACCATCTGGAGACTGGCTGCAAGAACTGGAAGGAGGAGCCCAACCGCCACATCTGCAGCAAGGAGGATAGCAGCTGGAGTTGGAGCTACCATCTGGTGATTGACTGCTAGAACTGGAAGGATGCGCCCAACGGCCACATCTGCAGCAAGGAGGACAGCAGCTGGAGCGGGAGTTAGAACGGAAAGGAGAAACAGATCTTGAGCGGTGACGTCGAGGCCTACAGATGGGGCTGTAGTGAGGATTACAAGAACCACATGTCCAGCAAGGAGGATAGTAGCTGGAGTTGGAGCTACCATCTGGTGATTGACTGGTAGAACTGGAAGGAGGCGCCCAATGGCCACATCTGCAGCAAGGAGGACAGTAGCTGGAGCCGGAGTTAGAACGGAAAGGAGAAACAGATCTTGAGCGGTGACATCGAGGCCTACAGATGGGGCTGTAGTGAGGATTACAAGAACCACATGTCCAGCAAGGAGGACAGTAGCTGGAGTTGGAGCTACCATCTGGTGATTGGCTGCTAGAACTGGAAGGATGCGCCCAACGGCCACATCTGCAGCAAGGAGGACAGCAGCTGGAGCGGGAGTTAGAACGGAAAGGAGAAACAGATCTTGAGCGGTGACATTGAGGCCTACAGATGGGGCTGTAGCGAGGATTACAAGAACCACATGTCCAGCAAGGAGGACAGCAGCTGGAGTTGGAGCTACAATCTGGAGATCCCCAGCTGGAATTGGAGGAAGGAGCACAAGAAGGACAATAGCTTGATCTTGATCTGTAACGTGGGGAGCCACAGATGGCACTGTAGCAAGGATCACAGCAGTCAGAGCAAGAGCTGTAGGAAGGAGAACCCCATCTGGATTGATAATCTAAGATGTAACTCCTGGGATTATAGGCATAGTAATATTCAGAGGGGAAATCATAGTTATTTTCATAGTTGGTCTCCCAGCTGTTTAGGTCCCAGTATTCTTGAGGCATGTAGAAGTTCATCTTGAGAGGATGAAGGTGGGTCTGAAAAGGTGCAAGGAGGAAATTGAATGAGGGGAAGCCCTGGTTCAGAAAATCATCATAAGCTTACTCAGAAGTGATGCTCCATCCAGATCAAAACTCTTCTGAGAAATCAGAGAAGACTTACCTGGACCACAGACAATAGACAGTATGGAGGGATCTCTAGAACTTCTCAGGACTCAACTGACTTTTTATAGAGTTCCTTGGTGCTTGAAGGGAGCCTGGACAACTCATGGGCCGGAAGCCCAACATTACCACTCACTTATTTCCTCAAGAAGCTTTAATTCCCTCCTTATGTTCAAAAAGTAATTTCAGGCTCGTCTGAACACACCCTCGTGCTGTTTAATCGTCAGGAATTAAAGGTTGCAGTTGTTCTGAGGTTCCCATCTGAGCTTTTGTGGTGGTGGATGAGGCGAACAATTGGTTGACTCAAAGCCATGGGGTGTCCCATGGTATGACAAAATGCTCTTTATTGTAGGAAATGCATACCTAGAATGCATACATACAATCCACGTTTGTTGACCCAGAAGTTTGTAGTGGTTTCTAGGAAGACCCTGGATTGATTTGGGACAGTCTGAGCCCTTTCCTATTTCACAGGGTTGAAGGGACCTTCGTAACAGCTTCCGTAGAAAAGATGGGATATAAATAAAAAGGAATAATAATCCATATAACATACAAAGATGGTTTACACCAGGTTAGATTATACCCTGAGTCCACCTGACTCAGAATTCTCCCCTCTATCAGAAGAGCTCCCACCAACCTCAAGGATAGGAGATCATCTCCATCACCCCCCTTTTTAAACATTTAAATACCACGTTTGGGTCAATAACATAGTTGAACTATGAGTACCATAAGAATATAAATAATGTTGGATGAGATGATTCTTCAGCTCAGGCATCCTGATTCCATAGCAGTTAACTGGGTCTCATGAAAAGTCCACCAGCTTGATTAGATGACCATTGGATTCCCTGATGGCCACCAACGACTCATATCCCGAAGTGCATTGCTTCTATACGTGGAAGATACGGTCTGCCTTCCTGCAACCAACTGCTGATCATTTGATCCTTTGGCATGTTCTGTGCATGTTCAAAGCGGTGCCATCCAAGCTGATGGCCCTCACAGTGTCAAACTGTGACTGTCATAAAGAAACATTCTTTTCTTTGGCTTTCAAAGTTTCCTCATTTTCCCACTCCTAAACCTCTTCTGTCTCATTTCCACATCAGTTTAGGGCAAAACTGAGTCTGTGCCAGAATGTCCCAAAATGCATTGCAAAATTGTCCACATCCACATTCCTTGCAAACCATTTCCCCCAACATAATCTTGTTCAGGACATTTTTAAAAAATTATTATGAACATTTTTCTTTCTCCATTCACCTTCCTCCCCCAATGACACATTTTGGGGAGGACATTTTTGAACTAGAGAACTCCCACTTTTGAAAGAGCAGAAACAGTAGCTTAATTGCACTTAATTAAGCAATTAGCTACTCATTAAAACTGAACCCGTCTGATTTCTTCCCAAATCTGAGAACTGGGGGCAGGGGGGGGGGGGAGTCCTTGGTTTTATCTGTTTTCTAATCTTCATTGGAGAAACGTCTCTGACTTGCCTGCCAGCGGAAGTTTACATGTTATCCTAAGCCCATTGTTATAACAATCCTATTTGTAGCCATTACCTAACTCTCCCCACTGTAAATTTTGGGGGAAAAAATATCATATCCCAATTCTCTCCTAATATTATCCATTTCTCATCTTCAGATAATATGTTGGTCACATCTCCTGTGCACGGTGGATCTTGCAGTCTTTCAAAGGGCAAAATCTGATGCCCGTTTCCTTATTTTTCTTTCATTTAGACACATTTTCTTTCATTTAGACCTTCCTTGGTATCCACTGGCCAGTTTGGAAGACCATCACCAAAATCATCTCAAGATGTTCCACCACTGATGTTCCTCTTGGAGAAACAGGACTAGAGTTCCTTCCACATATATTTATTATTTGTTTTGTTCCTTAGGAAAAGCACAACCCATAACATGGAAAAGGTATGCAGAGAACAAGCCCATGCTTTAATTAACCAGCACCCTGGGGTTCTCCAGCCCTAAAGCAACAACTACAATGTGGTGATAAACCCAGGTTTAATTAAGTCTTGCGGCTCCTTCTGCTTTATTGTAAAAAGGCAGGTGACATCTGTTTGTTACAGTAGACACAAGTTGTTGGCTTCTTCATTTGAAGGAAGTCAATGTTTGATTTCCAATTTATTGTATTTCTTTTTACCCATGTGGGGTGTTGACTAATTGCCCTTTCAGGAAGGGAAGGTATGAACATTTGACTTAATCATGCTTGTAAGGCATCACAGGTCTTGCCCCAAACACTGTGTTATTTCACTAATCGTTGGGTTCTTCTTTGAAACATTCCTATCAGATTACACTGTAGATGAATATCTGTCTCCCCAAATTTTATCCAATACATGCATGTATCAGGTTTAGAAGAGTGCCAAATCTTCTTCCTGGTTTTCTGATAAGGGGTTTGCAACCAGGAGGAAAGGTGGAGAAGAAATATACCTGGTCCTTCTCGATTCTTTCAATGTTGGACAAGGCTACACATTACACTAAAAGTTGGACTACACCAATAGTGTCAAGTAGTTTCAATTCTCATTTTTAATTTCATGATAGGTGGTAGAGTATTGCATGCCATACACGTTTTCTTGCCCACAGTCTATCATGGAAGGCTTTCAAGGAGAAGGTCTCATAATGCTATGCCATAAGATGAGTGTTCCTGGTCTTGAAAGATGTCTACATAATCAGAGATTGGTTTCACAAGTACAAATAACAATAGCCATATAAAGAAAAATCTAATATCTGCTTAGACAATACTCTCCTTAGATATCCACTGAAGTTTTCTAAAAAGACAGGGATTCTATTATTTCCTCTTTCTTGTTTCATCAGACTTAAGTTCTGTTCAGCTCCTTTGGCATCAGTTTTCTTATTTGCTCAAGATACGTCTATTAGAATCCAAAAATAAATTAGGACAGACCAAATAGTTAGTCCAATATGAAAAGTCAGCCTGATGTAGAGTTTCAAATGAATACTCTTGGAATCAACCCTCTGAACACCATTCTGCGCTTAGTAGAAAATGAGACAAAGCGCCAATAGATCTAGAAACCAAAAATGGCCTGCTAGATCCTCAAAGGATTTTTTTAAAGAGCAAAATCTACTGGTGTGATAATGAGCTTTTGAGTTATTGGAAGACCCAAGACTGCAAAAACTTTAATGCAGTTTACCTGTGGAAGAAGTGGACAAACATATAGGATTGTCCCACTAGGAGGACAATTGATTTCAATGAAGTTACTCTCAGAAAAGCAGATAGAGGACTAAGGATCCAGACCCTTCCATCACAGGGTGGTTCTGAAATACCTT